GGGCGCGACGCCGCTCTGTGTCCACTGCCAGGGCGCCCCAGCAACGGCCAGCCGCACCGGCCACTCATGCTGAATACCTTCGTGGTGTGAGTGCCCCCCCCCGCCTCCTCGTGCTCCACGGCCGCCTTCTGCTCTGTTTCTCTCTTTTGCAGCTGGACGCTCCGTGCGCCCCGCCCCAGCCACTAGAGCGCGGTCGCCTCTGCCGCGCCGCAACGGAAAAATGTCGGGTCCTCGGTTTGGGTGAGTCCACAGCGCTGCGCGTCTCCTCTTTCTCCCCCCCTTCTTCCTCCACTTCCTCCTCCTCATCCTGGTTGCCTCTTCGCACGTTGGCAGTCCCCTCGCTCCGTGGGGCCTTCCGCCGAAGGCGCTGGTGGCTGCGTCCGCATGCGGCCCCGCTTCATTTTCGGCACTCCCTTCGCACGTTTCGTGGACCTATGGGGGATTCCACTGGCGGCCCTGGTGGCTGCGTGTGCGCGCGGCCCCGCCCGACTGTGGCAGGCCCCTCGCGCGTTTCGTGGACGCTGTGGGAATTCCACCGAAAACCTTGGTGGCTGCGTTCGCATGTGGCCCCGCCCCATGTGGGTAAACCCTTTGCACGCGTCTCGTGGCACCGAAGGCCCCAGCAGTAGCTGCGCCCCCCCGCGGGTTTCGTAGGCCCCATATGGGAGCTCCACCGGATGCCTTGGTGGTGGCGTCCGCGTGCGGCCCCCGCTCCAGTTCGGCACGCATCTTGCGCGTTTCGTGGCCCCAAATGGAGTTCCACCGTAGGCCCCAGTGGTTGCGTTCGAATGGCGTACACTCGCCCGATAGGGGGAAGACCCCTCGCGCGTTCCGTGGCCCCATGGTAACTCCACTGAAGGCCCTGGTGGCTGCGTCCGCATGCGGCCCCGCCCTATTTCGGCACGCCCCTCGCGCGTTTCGTGGGCCCATAGGGGATATCACCGAAGGCCCCAATGGGTGCGTCTACATGCGGCCCCGCCTGATGTCGGCTGACGTCTCGTACGCATCATGGCCTCATAGGGATCTCCAACGAAAGCTCCAATGGCTGCGTTCGCACGGCGTACCCGCACCCGTTTTGGCACACCCCTCGCGCGCTTGGTGGAGAAACTGGGCTCGTCCACCCGCTGTAAGCTCATCTCATCCTGTCAAGCTCATTCGGCCGAACGCATCCGATTGCAAATTCATCTGGTCCTGCTTCATCCGGTGACTAGCTCATACGGCCTAACTCATCTGGTGAATAACTCATCTTGACTAATTCATCTGGTGCCTGACTCATCTGGTCAAACTCATCGGGTGACTAATTCATCCAGTCCCAGACTCGTGGGGCACCGAACTTATCCGGTCCCGACCTCATCGGGTGCCAAACTCTCCCGGTGCTGAAATCATCTGGTGCTTAACTCATCCGGTAACTAACTCATCTGGTGCTCAACTCATCCAGTGACTAACTCATCCGGTCACCAGCTCATCCGGAGGCCCTTTCGGAAATCCTCCAATAGATTGCAAACAACGGTTATTGTATCGCCGAAAGAAACACGCGCAGCAAGCGAGGACAACCCAAGACTCCCCAAGACAAGCCGAAAGACACCCAATCAAACTGGAAGAGCAAGCCAGGGCTGCGACAGACACCCAACACAAATCAAGAATACCAAAAGTATCTACAACACGTCTTTTAGCAATGTGGTTGACTACGCAACGTTTGGTCAGCAAGTCAATGTTCTCAGGACTGCCGTGTCCCAATCAAGCCCGTAAGCATGCGAAAGCAATCCCGGGCTACCCAAGAGAGCCCAACAAACGCCTAACGCGATGAATGAATGAAGACTGCCTCAAAATCTGATTGATTACAACACTTTCTGTAGTCAAGCAAATGTTAATTCTATTACATGATCAAAGATGTTGCCTCTCCTAGTGACGTCCGAAAGAATAGACTGGACGAAGCCACGCTTTCCAACACAAGCCAATGTGCGCCGAGGACCAGGATTCGTGAAGTCCACGACTGCTTGAACATGTGCTTGAGTAGAAAACTTTTTGTAGTCAAGCATATTTTCAAAAACCTGACCTGGCCCAACGAAACCCGCAGAGCCGACCAAAACGTGAGCGACAGCTTACGCTGACTGGCGCCGCCAGTCCTCCTCCTCCTCCTCCTCTTCCTCCTCCTCGTCCTTCTCCTCCTCCTTTAACTCCTCCTCCTCCTCCTCCTCCTCTTCATCCTCCTCGTCCTCTTTCAACTTCTCATCCCATCCTCCGCCTCCTCCTATTCCACCTTCCCCCTCCTCCCCCTCGTCCTTATTCCCCTCCTCCTACTTCTCCTGCTTGGAATTTCAATATGTAATAACTCGATTCCTCCGACCTCATCCTGGGCCAGACCCGTCTATTGCTTAACTCAGCCAGTGCTTCGCTGATTCTGCGATCCGATGCTCAACTCATCCGATGACCCAATCATCCGGTGACCTAATCGGTGCCTAGCTCATCCGGTGAAGAGCTCACCAGGTCAGACGAACTCATCGGATACCAGACTCCGCTGGAGCCTGGTTCATCCAGCGCGCGCCGAATTGACCTGAACATTTGCTTGATTACAAAACGCGTTGTGCTCAAGCAGATTTTCATGTGAACACCAATCCGGAAGCTCTCGGTGCCTCATGATTCACATGGTGCCTCACTCGCCCGGTGCTTTTCAATGAACTCCCGAACTGACCCTGGTCCCTAACGCACGCGCGGTGTCTTAACTCACCAGAGGCTCGTACCTGACCGGGTGACCCCAAGTGATCCGCTGTGAGAAAGTCACCGGGTTCCCTGAACTTGTCCCCCTAACCACAAAGCCGACCTGAAGATGTGCCTGGCTATCAATCACGGTGTAGCCGAGCAAAGCTTCATCGCACATCCCCGATCTGGGCTCACTGGGTCCCCGACAACTCCCCTGGCGCCTCGCCTGGAGCCGCTCACACAATTCCCAAACTCACCCAGATGCAGAGCGCACTCGCGGTGCTTATGTAATTGACCTCAGACCCATCGCGCACCAAGTGGTCCTAATTCATGCCCTATTCCAAACTCACCCCGTGCCCCTGATATACACGGTGCCCGTAACTCACCCCGTACACAACGCTCGCACGGTGCCGAATTCCGCTGCCAAGCTCATCCGGTGCCAAGCTAGTGCCAAAATCATCTGGTGCCAAGCTCATCTGGTACCAAATTCATTCGGTGCCAAGCTCATCCGGTGCCAAACTCAGCCGGTGCCTAACTCATGACGTGCCCAAATCATCCGGTGCCAAACTCGTCCGGTGCCTAACTCATCGGGTGCCTATTTCATCTGGTGTTTAACTCATCCAGTACCTAGCTTCTCTCCTGGTGCCCCCGTTTTATGCAAGGCCTCACCCGGCCGACGCCTGACTCACCCAGCCCTGAGCTCACCTGGTGGCAAACTCATCCGTTGGCTATCTCATCCAGGCTAACTCATCTGGTGACTCAGTCATCCGGGCTGACTCATCCGGTGCCTGACTCATTTGGTCTAATTCATCTGGTCGGGGTTCACCCGCACCGCGGATCGGATGAGTCGGATCGGATGAGGTGCCATCGGATAAATCAGCCTGTCTCCTTTTCGTGGACACATGGGGAGTTCCACCGAAGGCCCTGGTGGCTGCGTTCGCCTGTGCCCCAGCCCCATTTGGGCAGCCTCCTCATACATTTCGTGGCCCGGAGGGGGCTCAATCGAAGGCCCCAGGGGCTGCTTCTGCATGCGGCCCCACCCCATTTCGGCAGACGCTTCACATGTTTTGTGCTGCGTGTGCATGCGGTCCCGTTTGTCGGAAGACCCCTCACACGTTTCGTGGCCACATGAGGAGTTCCACTGAAGGCCCCAGTGGCTGCGTCCGTATGCGGCCCCGCTCCATTTCGGCCTGAAGGCTCCAGTGGTTGCGTCCGCATGCGGCCCCGCCCCATTTCGGCAGACCCCTCACACGCTTTGTGGTGTCACAGGGAGCTCCACCGACTGCCCTGGTGGCTGCGTTCGCATGCGGTCCCGCCCGATTTCGGCAGACACCTCGCACGTTTTGTGGACCCATGAGGAACTCTACAGCGCGTTCGTCGCCGTCTTCCGTCGCGCGGACAGAGCCCCGTTAGTGCGCGCGTAAATGGAAAAGGTTGGGTGTGATGCTTTTTGGCGAAGCGTTCAGGGGCTACCCCGGCTGCTCGCAGCATCCTTATGCATCGAGTGGACCTGTTCCTAGTCGCCTCGTAGTGAGAATGGGTTGGATTTTCCGCATGTCTATTTTGCAGCTCCGGCACTTTTGTGAATTTCGGCCTCCGGGGGCCGTTTTCGGTTTCCGCGACCATCAAACATTGCTTCGGGCGAAGAAGTGCCTCACGATGAAGGTGTCGAGGCTCCTGGGGCTTGCGGATTGAAGAAACAGTCCGTCTGAGGTCTGTACCTGACTGGTCTCTCGCGCACGTTTTTCTTCTCTGCCACCAGATGTATTTCGATCTTTGCCAGGATCGATCCTTTCACCTTCCCGCTGTCTCCAGGTCTCGCACCTCCTCTGGTTCCATGCCACACTCCTTGCCCTCCGCTCCTTGCCCTCCGCTCCGGCTTGGCCATTCATGCCCATTCTGGGTTGGTTCGCGTGCCCAGCCCGCCATGGGCCATGCTCGCTTCGACCGACTCGGGATCCGTCTCGCTCGCAAGCCCGCGCAGGTCGGCAGCCTCTACTCCGGGCTCGTGCGCCTCACCCGATCCATCCGCGCGCCTCGCCACACCTCCTCGGCTCGACTCCGCGCCCGCCGCGTCGGACAGAGCGCGCCGTCCCCAACCCGTCGGCCCGCGGGCGCTGGCAGCCCCACCCGGGGGCCGTCCTGGGCGCCCTGCGGGAGGCCAGCTTGGGCCAGCCCAGCCTGCTTGCGCCGCCTTGGAGGCGCCCGCGCGGGCCATCCGTGGGCCTTCTCGCCGGGCCATCCTGGGCGCCCCCGTGTGGGACGAGGGGGGGGTCGTCGAGCACGGCCGCCGCCCGCAGGTCTGCTGCCCGGAGCCCCTGGTGGCCAGGCTCGTGGGCAACCAAGGCGGGCCCCCCTCGGGCGCCGCCGCGGGAGGAGCGCGGGGCAGTGACGCCGCGTGAGGGAAGGGCGCGCGCGCATGCTCGCCCGCCCCGTCGGGCACTCTGTCCCAGTGCCGCAGGAGGGAAGAGGGAGGGGTGAGGGAGGGAGGGGGTGAGGGGCGGGGGAGGGAGGGGGAGGGAGGAGGGCAGCGGGGGAAGGGGAAGCAGGGAAGGGGGAGGGATGGGGGAGGGAGTTTAGATGGTGGGGCAGGCGGGGAAGGTCGAGGACGTGAATCAGGATGCGGACGAGTACGGGGATGCGGGTGAGGGTCGACACGATAATGATGCTTTTGATGATTTGGAGGAGGAGGAGGATGCAGGTGAGGAGGAGGAGGAGGAGGAGGCGGGCGAGCAGGATGAGGACCACTTATTGGGACCACTTATTTAACGTCCTATGCGGTCATGTGTCATGCCGCCTAAGACGAGGAAGTGACGACGGGCACGATGGGGGATAGTCGCCTGGCGACTCGCTGTCCCGCAGGTGGTCCCCTGAAACCATGGTTCACCGACCCTGCGGGGGCTGCGCTGGCATGATTCACCTGCTTACGTTTTTAAGCCGTATGCTCAAAGAGTCGCAAGGCCAGCTTGAGGTAACAACCGACGGGCATGTGGAAATGGGGCTCGCGCTGGCACCAGGTGAGATAATTGATCTCGAACACGAGGATCCCCGCCCGTGGGTGGGCGCGAGGCCCCATGGGATTCACGTGCCACATGGCGCCACCCCTTCCGGAAGTGCACGATCGTTACTGCAGCTGACGCCGCGGCAGTGGGCCAAGGTTCAGACCGCACTGACCAGGACGCAGGGGAGCCAAACTTCTCCCTGTCCTAAGAAAAAGACGGCCGCCTTCCTGTTTCCGCATCACATCCGTGGTACCTGACAGTGTGCCCCAGAGCAAGTGTGGCATTGACACCATGAGAACATCGCGAGTAGGAGGAGGAGGAAGAGGAAAAAGAGGAGGAGGAGGAGGACGCGGAGGAGGAGGCGGAGCGTCCTCAAAGCAGGAGGCTGGAGGAGGAGCAGGCTGGAGGAGGAGGAGAAGGCTGGACAGGTGGAGGAGGAGGAGCAGCAGGATGATGAATAATCTGACGATGACGACGACGAGGACGACGACGATGACGATGATGATGAGGATTATGATGATGATGCTGATGATGATGCTGCTGATGATGATGCTGATGACGACGATGATGATTATGATGCTGCAAAATGATGATGGTGATGTGGATGAAGATGATGATGCTGCTGATGATGATGTTGATTATTATGCTCATGATAGTGGTAGTAAGGATGACGATGCTGCTGATAATGACGATGATGACGATGATGATGAGGATAATGTGAATGATGAGGACGAGGAGGAAGAGGAGGATCAGGAGGATGAGCAGGATGCTACATCATCTGTTGATGATGAGGATGATGATGGTGGTGCGGATGGCGGATTTTGTGGTGTTTGTTACTCTCATGATGATGATGATGATGATGATGATGATGATGATGCTGATGATGATGGTGATGATGATTCTAGTAATGATGATGCCGACGATACGCTGATAATGATGCTGCTGCTGATGATGATGCTGATGATGACGGTGATGCTGGTGATGACTATGATACTGCTGATGCTGCTGCTGCTGATGGTGATGATGATGGCAATGATGATGATGATGACGATGTTGATGATGATGCTGATGCTGATGATGTAAATGATGATGATATGATAATGATGATGCTGATGATGATGATGAGGATGATGGTGATGATGATGCTGAGTCATGATGATGAGGATGAGGATGTTGTTGCTGATGTTGATCATGATGATGACGACGATGATGCTGCTGATGATGATGACTATACACATTCTGATGATGATGAGGATGATGATGATGATGATGATGATGATGATCACCATGCTGCTGCTGCTGATGATGCTGCTGGTGATGGTGATGATGATGGTGATGATGCTGACGACGATGATGACAATGATGCTGTTGCTGTTGATGCTGATGCTGATGCTGATGCTGCTGATGATGATGGTGATGATGATGGTGATGATGATGATGATTATGAGGAGGATGATATTCATGATGATGAGGATGAGGATGAGGATGAGGATGGTGATGATGATGATGGTGATGATGACGACAACGACGATGATGATGAAGATGATGATGATGATGATGATGATGATGATGATGATACTGATGATGATGATGATGATGATGATGATGTTGATGATGATGTTGATACTGATGATGATGCCGGTGATGATGCTGATGATGATAATGATGATGATGATGATGATGATGATGATGATGATGATGATGATGATGATGATGATGATGATGATGATGATGATGATGATGATGATGATGACGGTGGTGGTAGTGCTGGTGAGTACGATAATGCCAGCACCGACGGCATTGGTGAACGTGACGAGGAGGAGGAGGAGGAGGAGAAGGAGGAGAAGGAGGAGGAGGCAGAGAACCAGGAGGAGGAAAAAAGGTTATGCAGTCGCCAGGGCAACGCCCTCTCCGCACAGATCTGCTAGTATATCCGCCGACTGGTGTTGCTGCGACGTCGAGGGTCACACGGTGGCAGTTGGCGAGAACTCTTGAGGCCTCGGTGTGCAGGCTGTGGCAGCCGCAGCGGCAGAGGCAGCAGTCGCCAGGTGGACAACATCCCAGAAGCGGGGGTGTGGGTGGGGGAAGCGATCGACTCGCCGCACGGCTGGTCGTTAGGCCGACAGACGCGGGGCTGGCCAGGGCTGGCTGAGAGAGGCCGACAGGCACTGAGATCTGGGCCCTGCGAACTCTTCACGCCAGGCGTTTTTGCCCAGCTTCGGGCCCCGGGAGCCTCTCACAGGTCGACCCAGATCGCGAGATGCCGCTGCCAGGTGGGTTTCCGCGGTGTTGCATTTTGTCGCGACGTCGGATCTCAGGGGAGGCTCGGTGTCCCGCCGGCAGGGCTACCGCTTGAACGTCGCGTGGCTCGGGGGCAACGTTAGCGGGGGTTGCATCGAACCCCAATCGCCCATTCATCGCCGATAGGGCCTGATAGCCTCGACCTGTCCAGGAGCGTTCGGATTTGCTATCGGGGTCCTATCGCCGATCCACCGGTAATGTGTCGCCGATGCAAGCTCGATGTTTCCCCTCCTGAGTTGGCCCCCCCTGACGTTCCCCCTCCGTGGCTGTGCCATCCTCTGTCTGTGGCGGCCATTGGGCTCTCCCTCTCTTGCTATTTTTTTGTTGTTCTGCGCGGCCAGCCCTCGGCTGCCGAGGCGGCGCTCGTCTTTGCGTCCCCGTGCCGGCACTTCTCTCTCGTCCGTTTCCGTTGTCCCTCTCGTCCGTTTCCGCTGCCCTTCGCTTCGTCGACGCTGGCCCTCCTCCTGTTCCCTGCCTGCCTACTTTCTTCCTCCTCCTTGTCCCCCTCCCTCGCTTCCTCCTCCTCCTTCTCCTCCTCCTCCTCTGAGGACGCTCCGCCTCCTCCTCCTCCTCCTCTTTCTCCTTCTCCTCCTCCTCTTTCTCCTCCTCATCCTCCTTCTCCTCCACCTCTGTAAAGGCAGTCGGGTCGAAGAGTCCTCTCCCTCCTCCTCGCACGGTGGACCCAGCGCAGCAGTCTGACGTCCCCCGCGGGGAGGGCTACTTGGAACAGCAGCGGGAGAGGGAGTAACAGGAGGAAGGAGAGACATAGGAAAAGGGAAATGATATAAGGCTAAGGCTTCACCTCAGAGGTATGGGCGAGACAAGTCATGTGGCAGGATTGCTTACCGACTCCCTTTTGTTCTGATTGCGCTGGAAACACCATTCCTCACGATATCGCCATCGTGGTTGTGATGCAGGAAAAGGAAACCAAACTAAGAGGAGCATGAAAAGGAAGAGCTAAAGGAGGGAGGATCGGTGGGTGGGTGAGAGGGGCGCTCTCTCCGTGGCAACCGACGCAGGTGTGCTGATACACCAGATCGAGGACCAGAGCAAGTCGCACCTCCAGTGCCACTTTGCGGGAATAGCTTGCTTTCTTGCCCCCCATCGCTCTGTCTCCCGTGCCCCCGCCTTCTCACATTTGTGCCTCTCCGCTGTCTCCTGCTCGTCGTCCGCTGTCGTCCCCGCCTCTACTCCTTCCTCCAGTGGTGCCTTGGCTCTTGGCGACGTGCATGTGATGCCTCGTCTTCAGCTTCACGTCGTGGAGTCAGTTGTGCGAAGGTCTTGTGGTAAAGCCAGACAGGCTGCCATGAAGACGGGGCGCTCACAGACGCCCAGCGACCCGAATAAAGCTGAGGCGGCAGCTGTTCTGGAAGTTCCCCGTGGCGTCCAGCGGCCGTCGGCGGCCCCAAAGGAACACAAGACGGCTCGAGGTGGAGAACTGTGCCTTGCCCCCTCCCTTCTCCTCCTCCTCCTCCCCTCCCTCCTCCTCCTCCTTCTCCTCCTTCTCCTCCTTCTCCTCCTTCTCCCCCTCCTCTTCCCTCCTCCTCCTCCTCCTCCTCCTCCTCCTCCTCCTCTTCCCCCTCCTCTTCCCTCCTCCTCCTCCTCCTCCTCCTCCTCCTGCTCCTCCTCCCCCTCCTCTTCCCCCGCCTTCTCCTCCTTCTCCTCCTCCTCCTCCTGCTTCTCCTTCTCCACCCCTGGGGACGGGGGGTCGAGGCGCCTGGTGGGCCGTGCCTCGATGAGATCGAGCCGTCCCTCCGGCTCGAGATGGAGCGCCGTGCTTTGTCCCCCCCCCCCCCACCCCCTCCTGCGGGGTCGGGGGGTCGAGGTGCCTGGGGGGGCTGTGCTTCGAGGAGGTCGAGCCACCCCTCCGACTCGCTACGACGCTCGAGTTTGTCCGGACGGTTTGGAGATGGCGACCATCTGTTCCGAGAAGCACTTGCCCTGATAGGATATGTTGAGCGTTGTGTTCCATTCCTGCTCCTCGTGCGCACCTTCCCCGGTTCTGCCGCGGGCGTCGTGGGCCGAGCGGTCGAGAGGAGCCTGCCCTTTGAACCTCCTGGGGCGCCCCGCAGCACCCGTCTGGTGGTTGCACTTCGGCGGGTTCCCAAGCCACCATCTCCTGAATCGATCGCAGGCGTGCCTGGCGTCCGTCAGGGGGAGCGAGAAATGATGTCGTCACGTTGTGTCTGATCAGCGCTGCTCACTGGCCAGGTTTTCCCCGCGGGGCGAGTACTATCCAGGCATCTGCTTCCTTCTCTCCCGATCCTTGGACAGAGTTGGACCAGAAAGGGATGAAGCAGTTTGTGGAAGATGGGGACGAGAATGAGGATGGGAGATGAGGACGGCTAGCTGGAGGCTGTTCAGGCAATTTGGACGGGCTTCCTTCCCTCATGTCGTCCAGCAGCACTGCTTGCACTTGTACGACCCAGAAATACAGCAGCAGCGACACGCAAACAATAATTTCCGTGCGCTCATATGCGGGAACTCGCGCATGAGTGGAAGGCCATGTAGACCCCGCGCCCCCTGATACATATGTCCATCCACTGTTGCAGGTGCCAAGTCCTTCGTCCACAGCCCAAGTTTCCCCGCTGTTCTTGAGATTCCGAAGCTGCCATTCCATCATGCATGCGAAGCGTGCTGTTTCTATAGGAACTTCGTCTCATGGACGCCACATTGTCGATTCACGGTTGTACCATCGTTGGCTGTCTTCCAGCCGCGAGAAGGTGTATTCCTCATTTGCAGACTCCTAGTGGAGGAGTCGCGCCTCGCTACTCTTTTCGAAGCTTTCGCCTTGGCACCACGGGTTCTGTTGTCCAGCAGCCGACACTTGTCTGGGCACCTCCCGCGGCGTCCGAAAGCCGCAGGCAGCAGGGGCCGACGAGGTGTGCCCAGATAGATCGATCTCCTCCTGTTCCTGCTCCTGCTCCTGCTGGGGGTGAGATCGAGGGGCCGAAGCGTTCTGTCAGCGCGGCAGGGTGGCCGACGAAGCGCGCCCGCACAGCTCCTGGCCCCTCCCGCTCCTGCTCCTGCTCCTGCCTGGGGGGGGAGAGGTCGAGGGGCCGGAGGAGTGGATCAGCGCGGCAGGGGCTGCGGATGCTGCGCGGACGGAGGCGCCCCCACGGCGTCACCCCTCCTCCTCCTCCTCCTCCTCCTCCTCCTCCTCCTCCTCCTCCTCCTCCTCCCTCCTCCTCCTCCTCCTCCTCCTCCTCCTCCCCTCCTCCTCCTCCTCCCCCCTCCCCCTCCCCTCCTCCTCCTCCTCCTCCTCCTCCTCTCCTCCTCCTCCTCCTCCTTCTCCTCCTCCCCCTCCTCTGCTGCGCATCTCCTTCCTCTCGGGCGCCTCGGCCCGCCGGCGGTCCTCCTGCTGCCGCCCCGTCCCTTCGCCTAACCACCCCGCCCCGGGCGCAGCCGTGCCTGCCGCCGCCGGCGCGTACCGCGCGCGCGAGGCACAAGGCTGAGGATTTTGACGGTGTTCACCGGGGAGCCGCACAACATATTCGAGGCCAGGCTTCGTCCAGCCTGCCCGATCCATTCTTTGGCTCTTCCCTGGTTGCCCCCCCCCCTCTCTCCCGTCTGAGCGTCCCCTCCTTTTCTCGGCCGTCCCCCCCCTCTTTGCCCGCTGGCCAATTCGCTAGTTGGTGCCCAGTTCTAGCTTCTCGCTGGAGCGGAGTTCGCCGCCTCGCCGCTGACGAAACAAGGATCCCCCCCTCTCTACGACCATCTGCGAGCCCCTTGGCGCGCAAAGAGCGGCCCTGGGCAGGCGTGGCCTCTGGGTGCGCGGCTCCCGCAGGCGCGCGGGGGGCGCCAAGGCCCCTCGCGGCGCCCAGGCCGCTGCTGCCGCGTCGCGGCTCAGCGGCCCAGGGGCCCCAGTGGGCCCGCATCAGGAGGTCACCCTGGCGAAGGGTCGCTCTGGTTTTTTTTTTTGCTCCCGCGCAGCGCGGCAGAGTTGGTCCGCGCGCGCGCTCCGCAAGCCGGGTGGCGGCGTCGCGCACTGCCCAGATGTGCAAGGGGAGGAGGAGAGAGGAGCAGGGGCCGGGGCAGCGGCTGCAGTGCGGGAGGCCCGAAAGGGTCACTCTCACGTGTGGTCGGGAGTCGCCCTGGCGCCTGCCAGCCCTGGTCTCGAGAAGGCCAGCACAAATCAAGCAAGTCTAACTCGCTGCGCTCGCCCTTGGAGTGCGACCAGCATGTCAGGAGAGTGCCAAGGTTAGGGAACGCGCGCGAGCCAGCACCATGCTGATGTGATTATCTTCGTGGGGGCCACTCTTGCCCAGGGTCGCTCTCCCCGGACCCCAGCGCCTTGCCTTTTTCACGACGCCCCCCCCCCCAAGAGGTCGTCCTGAGTCGTTTCTTGGTGGTCCCAGGGCCCGGCGAGGGCCCCCAGAGGCTTAAACCACGTATCAAAAACCTCGCGTCGCGGTGCTTTTCGCGGCGCGAGGGGGTCATGGGCCACTCGCACGAACGATTGGTCGCGCAGCACGACTTGCGTCCTGGGGGGACCGCTGGCGCCTCTGGGGGACCTGCGACGTAGCGGTTGGCCGTGCCCGAGGACGGAAGCAGGGTCGATCCACGGCGCCTCGCGGCCCGGCGCCGCCCACCCCAGACATCTAGCGTAGAGTCGGGGCCCTGAAGAAGGAACCCTTTTCGTTGGGGAGGGGCTCCGCGTTCCTTAAGTGTTTCACAGCTTCCCTCAGGTTTTGCCTTACATGTGTTTTCGATCGGAAGTCGAAGTTTAACTTATGGAAAAAATGGGCCTCGTTCCTCATTTAGGGTTCCTTAGGTCAACGCCCCGACTGTATGGACACAATCGGTGCGGAGGTTTTTCTTGGTGTTCCGCCTCCGGGGGCCCTCGCCGGGCCTGCGGGGCCTTCAGGCAGCGCCTTCAGGGCCCCAGGGAAAGGGTGGGGGACATCTGGCGACGCCGTGTGGGACAGCTGAACACAGCGGCTGTCAGGGCCCCCCCCCCAGATTGATTCTCACGGGCGTCCTCCGACCCGCACAATGTGTCCCGCCAGAGCTCCTCGCGGGCCCTCTGCACTTCGGGGCGAGCAAGAGGGTCGAGCCCTGTTTTACGGGCTACTGGTTTACTCACCCCGTCCCCTGCCTCTGCGTGGTCGTCGTCCTTCTCATCCCCCTTTGGCTTTACGCCTTCACAGGTGTGCGCTGCAAGTGACAAGCTCAGGGCGTCCAAGCTTGACTCATCGGGTTGCGTTTACGTATAGAAAAACAAGAAGGTGTCCTGTAGGGCTCTTTTCGGTCCCAGAGGCCCAAACACCTTCAGAGCGGAGGTCCGACATCCATTCTGGAGGCCACTCCCCCCATGCCTGGAGGCTCTCTCCATCCAGACCAGAACAGAAGTTCGACCTCTCAGGTTGAGGTTCGCGGTCCTCCTTGGGCGTCTCCAGATGCCCGCGGAGGGTGTCCCGTGGCTTCTGGCAGGTTCTCGCCGGCCCTCGGTTGTGCGCGAATTAATGGGGGGTGAGCAATGTGGGGCAGCGAAGGTTGCCGAAAAAGGGCCCTTCTGGGGCCCGCCAAGGTGCCCTTGAGGGCCCAGAAGGGGGCCTTCGGGTCCGAAAAGGGCACCTTTCTCCTCCCCCCCCATCGATCGCCCCCACCATTAGTAATTTCGGCCTCGGCTCCGAAAGGGGGGGGGGGGGGGGGGGGGGTCCCAGGGAGCGCTTCCAGAGACCCCCTCCCCGTGGGCTCGGAGCCCGCAGGTGCAGTGACCTTCAGGCCTCGGGGGGGGGCCTCCCCGCGGCCTCCGAGCAGCCGGCCTCCAGAGCAAGCGCCGCGCAGGGGCTCCGGGGGCCTCCGGGAAGCCTCCGTGCGCGCCTTTGGTCGACCCTCCCCCAGAAGCCTGCTTCCAGAGAGCGCTCAGGGCTCGAGAGACGGGGGTCAATGCAAAGGGAGGTCGGTCAGAGCGCCAGATCTTGCAGGATCCTGCGGGGCCAGGGCTGCAGTGACCCAGGCTTGGGTGAAGGATCCTGCATGATCCTGCACAGCCTGACGTGCCCGCGTTTGTATTGCCCCGGGGCAGTGGCTCCCCGAAGCGCGCAGCGGGCTTCCAGTGACCTCCGCGGGCTCCCCCCAGGGGTCCCCCCAAGAGGCCCCCACCCGCGGGACGGTTGCGCGCAGGATGTTCCCAAGCTCCCGGGCCGCTTCGGAGTCCTGGCGCCCCCTCTTGCGCCTCGATCAAGAGCCCTCTCGGGGCCGCCATGGCCTCCCTGGGCTCCCTGAGGACACCTTGGGGCCAAGCTCACTTCTGCCACCTTCCGAGCGGAGGATGGGGTCGACGCTTCCACGGCCTCTGGGCGCGAGTGGCACTCGGCCTGTGGCGGGAGAGACTCCTTCGACGGTTTCCATGGCGCGGCGGGTGCGTTCGAGCTCGCGGCTGGCGGGAACGCTCTGGCGTAGTTTTTGCCAGGGCAGGGAACCAGAAGGGTAGAGTGCAAGGGTGCATCGGTACTGGAGCGTCGCCCAGCTCCGCACACCACGCGCGGGTCCGTGGCGCATCGAGCGATGTTGCACTCCGCGATCATCCGATGGTCGGCGCCTGTTCCCCATTCGGAGACACTGATCGCTGTGAGCTCTGTGTGGAGAGCAGCCGGAACTTTCATGCCTTGGCTTGTGATGTTCCCACCCACAATAGTAGCCGTGATCTTCAGATCGAATTTCGAACACCAAGAGAGTACCGAAACAGGATGGTTTTCACGCGTCGGGCCCTGGGAGGCGATATGTACTCGTTCGGCACTGTTTCGATACTTTTCTGGCTGCTCGAAATTGTTTCTGTGATGTGGTCCTTGAGTGCGGTGGGAGCAGCAGAAGCCTCTTGGTATGCCCGCAATCGTGGAGAGACCGTCGCTGCATTATGTACTGGAGCTGTGCTCGCCCGGGTGCTGCGCGCGCGACGGTGGCCCCCCTGGGAGGCGCTGACGCTGGTGCTGGACGATCTCATCTCGAAGGCGGATGAAGATCGAGACGGCAGCAGGAGCCTCGCCGAGCTTGCCTCATGCCACGTGAGGCACGGTGGGGGCGTTCGTTAAGGAGGGTGCTCAGAACTCTTCAGGCCCTGGGTGTTCTTCGTCTGACGAGGGCGGCGGCGACATCCATGGCCGCGCCTCGGTTGGTGTTCCACTGGCTTCCAAATCCTGCGTTCACAAGGGCACCCTCGAGGGCGCGAAGTTACTCGCGCTTCGCGCTTCGCGGTTCGGCTCTGATTCCTCCTCAGCCTCTTCTTCTCCCTTGGGAGGCGGCGCGAGAGCGCGAAGTTATTCGCGCTTCGCGCTTCGCGCAGCGCGAAGCGCGAAGTTTGGAGCCCTTGGCACAGCAGAAGCTTCTGTCTCCCCTCTTCCTTTCTCTCTGTTGCCCATTGCGCCTCCCTCCCCCCGCGCCCCTCCTCTGCCACCCTCGTTCCGCTCGTACTCCCACTCCCACTCCCACTCCCACTCCCACTCCTCCTCCTCCTCCTCCTCCTCCTCCTCCTCCTCCTCCTCCTCCTGACCAGTACGGGACAGCCAGTGCTCGCCGTGACATGGCGACGGAGATATGTTACGGTGCGTGGCATCGAGCTGAACGCCCTCGCAATCACCGCTTGCAGATCTACACCACCGAGCACATGCCGACCAACACCTATCGAGAATTTGCTGATGAAGCTGCTGAACACCGTGCCCGTCGTCGCTGGATCGAACGTGAACGTGCCACCAACCCGAACCTCCCGCAGGAAGACGGCGACACTCAGTCTACATCTACGACCACCTCCACGCCGCCCATCCACTCCACCAGTGACATCATGATGGGCTCCGATACATCCGACCGTGACGGACTTCTTGGCCGTGCTGTTCTTCCCGCCAGTGTTGAGCACGTCTGGCGCGACCTGCGGTCCCACCTGGCGATTTCCACGGCCTCGCTCTTCTGGCCCGTGGTCAAGACCTTGTCAGGCGCGTGGACGACCTCACACCGCATGCATGTCAATCCCCACAAGAAGAGCTGCTTGTTCGGCTGCGACAAGGACTTGCAGGCCAAGAACACGGACGACATCAGCCACTACATTTCGTGCCCGCGGATGTGGGCGCTAGTGGCTCAGCCACATGGACAACCTGCTGGTGATGCACTCACACGCCTGGGCCTCCACCAGAACGGCCTCATCGACGACCACCCGAGGCACACCGTCACTCGCATGGACGTGGCCTTCCGCAGCTACAACATCCTGCGGGTGCGCTCCGAGCTGGGCATGCCCGCCATCCACGACGAGCTCAACTACCACAAGGAGGTCGTTGCCGCTACCCGCCGCGCCCTGAGGCTACCCCGGTGCCTCGTGGGCGGCGCGGGGCCGCAGCGACACTAATCATCGGACGTGCGCTCTCCCCAGCGTGTCGTTCGCTCCTCCTCCTCCTCCTCCTCCTCCTCCTCCTCCTCCTCCACAGTCCACCGCAGCTCCTCCTCCTCCTCCTCCCCCTCCTCCTCCTCCCCCTCCTCCTCCTCCTCCCTCCTCCTCCTCCTCCTCCTTCTCCTCCTCCTCCTCCTCCTCCTCTACAATACTCAAGATGAGTACTACTTTCCCTCCCTCTTCCCCTGATGAAGGAATGGGAGTAGCTGACCCCCCCCGCGTGTATTGTTTTTTACGCACAGTTTTCCCCGGAGTTGGGTTTTCGCTTGCATTTTTTTCCAAAATGCTGCTCTCGCTGAGGCGCAGGGCTCATTTTCGGGCCCCGCTCGTTCCGAATCATGCTCCCGCTGCAGCGCTGGCATCATTTCCGCCGGCGCTCGGGCTGCACGCCCGAGCCGGCGCCCAGGCCGGCGCTCGGGCCGGGTCCGGAGCCAGGCCGCCGCCGGACAATCGAGTTCCGAGGCGGCGCCGAAAAAGGCAATTCTAATACACATTTTTCTTCTGAAAATGCTGAATATTCCGGCGCCCGGGAGACCTCCCGGGCCGATTCCGACGCCCGGGCCGGCGCCCGAGCCGGTGCCCCGGCCGGACGCCCGAGCTGGCGCCCGGGCCGGCGCCCCGGCCGGGTCCTGAGCCGGTTTCGGCTGGCGCCGGAAAATCGAGTTCCGAGGCGGCGCCGAAAATAGGCCATTCCAATACATATTTTTCTTTTGGAAATGCTGAATTTCTGCTTCTGGCGCCCAGGCAGGCCTCCTGGGCCGATTCCGACGCCCGGGCCGGCGCCCGAGCCGGCGCCCCGGCCGGACGCCCGAGCCCGCGCCCGGGCCAGCGCCCGGGCCGGGTGCGGAGCCGGTTCTGGCCGGCGCCGGAAAATCGAGTTCCGAGGCGGCGCCGAAAAAGGCCATTTTAATACACATTATGCTGAATTCCTGTTTCTGGCGCCCGGGAAGCCTCCCGGGCCGATTCCGGCGTGCTTCCGCTCGTTCCGAATCGTGCTCCCGCTGCAGCGGTGGCCTCATTTCCGCGCTTCTGCTCGTTTCGACTCGTGCTCCCGCTGCAGCGCTGGCGTCATTTCCCGTGCCATGCCACGGCATGCAATGCAATGCTAGGTTGATGCTACGCTTTGCGGTGCTCTTCAACGCCACGCCACGCCGTGCTCTACAATACATCACGTACCCTTTCGGGGTCATCGCCCTGCTCGACATCCGACTGTGCGAGTAGAGAGGGGATCTGCGCCGTGGTAAGGGATGGGGGGGAGGGCCCGGGGAGGGGTAGGATGCCAGATATGACGCGAGCGCACCTAGCTTGTCCTTCTCCCCCTCCTCCCCCTCCTCCTCCTCCTCTTCCTCCTCCTCCTCCTCCTCCTCCTCGCCCTCCTCCTCCTCGCCCTCCTCCTCCTCCTCCGCCTCCTCCTCCTCCGCTTCCTTCTCCGCTTCTTTCTCCGCTTCCTCCACAACATCGTCTTTCGATCCGTTCTGGAACGCGTTGTGACCTGTATCCGGCCGAGGTGGCAAAGGGTTTTACAAGAAGCCCCCCCAATGGGCCAGAACTGCCAGGAGGGCCGAGTTGCCCTGGGACACCGAGGCGAGGTGGATCTGGATGTTGGCTCGCCCGTGCGGGCGCGAGCATATCCGCGTCCACCGCTCCTCAGGGATCCGTGAACAGACCGCTGAGGTTAAGGATGCGCATGTTCCTTCGCCGTGCGCTCGGGAGGTAACTGTTGCTTCTGCTTCGTTTCCGCTGGCCACTTTGGGGCCCTTCCTTTTTTTTCAAACCACTGCGCCCAGGAGCCTTCAGGAAAGGACGCTTCGTGAGGGGCCTAGATGAAAAACTACCGATATCGGCGCATTCGAGATCCTATATCGCGAACGATGGGCCCACGACGGGTGCGCGCGCAACACGAGCGGATGGGTCTCCGCCCCACTCCCACGCGCCCCCGCCTCTGCGGAGGCGGCACTGTGAGAGCGGCACCCGAACCCCCTCTGGGGTCGGGGGGCCGCTCCCCATCAAAACTCGCTAACTCAGGAGCACTAAGATACTGAACCGAGAAAGAGGGAGGCGGGCGCACGGGGCCTGAGGGACGAGCGACTTCCCAGGCACGAACACGCTCCACCCTTGGAGCCTGTTGTACAGCATGTTGGTCATCCCACACCCCGCGCTGATCGACTGCGACCAGTCGTCTGAGAAGTCAAAGAGGCCGACGAGCATGGGATACGATAGTGATTAGATAGTCCCATCATCACTGAACTAAACTGCTGAGTCTCTGGCGTTTGAACAAGTCTGGAAGAGTTCTACACTTAGAACTGGCCGAGGGAGTGTCTACTTCTTCTTGGGCTTTTTGGCGCCCTTCGACTTCTGCGTGTCGTTTTTTCGGAAGGCGAGCTCCTCTATCTGCTTTGCCACCTTGGACCTCTGACCGTAGTCGTGGCCCAGGAGGATTCCTGCCGCCTTGAGCCCGCCGTTGTCCCTGAGGGTGGACAGCGCGAGCTTGAGCTCGGGGTGGTAATTGACGGCCCAGATCCAGCGCACCTGCTCCACGTCGCCCTCGGCCAGCTTCACCTTGAAGCACCGCGTCGCGCGCACCATGATCTCCGTGTCCTTGGCGATCGAGCCCCAGCGCCGGAGCACCTCCAGCGCGTCGAGGGCCTTCTCGGGGTTGGTCCCATTCTTCGCGGCTTCCTGCACGGGCTGGGAGCTGTTCTCGTAGGCTTCGGCCATGCGGAAGATCACCGACCTCAAGAGTGCGTCTGGCTTTTTTCCGAGCGGGTGTCCCTTGAAGTTGTCGCCCTCGCGGGCGGATTTGCCAGTCGCTATGTAGTTCTGCAGGCCGTTTTCCAGTGCCATCTCGATCTTGGTGCCGACTTTGAGGGTGAGTGTGAAGTTGTCGTCCCTCGCGTCGGCCTGGTGGGCCGCTTCGTGTTGGAGGAGGAGGCGGCACATCAGGTTCGTGAGCTTGCCGTTCGGCGTCGACTCGCTGGACGCTGTGGTGCTGTCCTGAGCCTCGGGCTCCTGCCTCTTGACGCCTCCCTGGACCTCCGCGATCGGCACGAACATCGTCTGGTGGTGTAAGCTCGGGGGGTCCAGGAGCAGGTGGCTCAGGTGCCCGACTCGCAGAGGCTTGGGCCAACAGCGACGGAGTAGCTCGGCACCGTCCCATACGAATGTGGCGAACGAGGGTGTCCTTTCTGCTGAACTTAGTGGCGCACCGGGGGCACTTCAGGGACCTGAGCTGGTCATCTGTTAAGTCCGTGGGGTTGGCGTACTTCTTGTGGACCGAAAACATGTGGTTGTCTAGGCCCTTGGGGCCCTGGCACATCCTGGAACATATCGGGCAAGGTAGCAGGGCATCAGGTGGAGGGGCGATTCCCGCGGCTATCTTCTCTTCGTCCTCAGTAGTTGTACTTCGCACACCTTTGAGTCGGGCCCTGGGGACGCAACACAACCAGCGAAGCCACGGGCGAGACGGGCTCGGGAGCTCCTCATTCAGGCCGTGGGTGTCCCTGGCTTGCTGCTGGGCCTCGGGGGTGAAGGTCCTCCAGAGGTGTCTGAGGTCGTCCAGAAGAACTCCCAAGAGCGAATTTATCTCCTTGTGCTTGGGGCCC